TTATATGATTTGAAGGAAACCAACTTTTATATGATTTGAAGGAAACCAACTTTTATATGATTTGAAGGAAACCAACTTTTATATGATAGAAAGGAAACTAACTTTTATATGATTTGAAGGAAACCAAATTTTATATGATAAAAAGGAAACCAACTTTTATATGATTTGAAGGAAACCAATTTTTATATGACAGAAAGGAAACCAACTTTTATATGATAGAAAGGAAACCAACTCTTATATGATTTGAAGGAAACCAACTTTTATATGATTTGAAGGAAACCAACTTTTATATGATTTGAAGGAAACCAACTTTTATATGATATGGTTTCCTTCAAATCATATAAAAGGTGGTTTCCTTCAAATCATATAAAAGCTGGTTTCCTTCAAATCATATAAAAGTTGGTAACTTTGGAGTCTCTTGACCGATTTGTCTCAAATTTTAACCGAGGAACTTGGTAGAACCACGGAAATATGATTAGTTTGGTTGACTTTTACAGAAAAAAGATAAATTACCAGACAAAACTGAGTTAACAAGCTAAATAGTGTAATCAAAACTGACATTGTAAGACTACATAGATGCGGAAAACCAAAATCCGCTTCACTACCGCGAGGAAAGTATCAGTATGAACCAACGATTTAATTGATGGTTGAAGACCAGGTAGAAACTAAACACGATCGGTAAACGAAATGACGTTGCAACAAATACTTGCATTTAATTGTAGAACCAGATATATATTATACTATTTAGCTTGTTAACTCAGTTTTGTCTGGAAATTTATTTTTTTCTGTAAAAGTTAACCAACTAATCATATTTCCGTGGATCTCATAGTTCCTCGGTCAAAATTTGAAACGAATCGGTCAAGAGACTCCAAAGTTATGGTCAGACATCCAAATAAACAAAGACTACTACTTTATTTAAAAAAAAGATTATATCTGTGAGTACATATTTATTTTTAAAGATTATTAAGTAACGTTATTTAATGGAACTAAACTCTCTTGAAATGTCTGGTAGCAGTTTCTTCAAACCCATTTCCTTCAAAGGTCTGAAAATAATTAGATTTTATCTTACTGTTATCTAACATTATCATTTTTGACGCTACGCATTTGTTCTTTTTTTAACTTGCGCTATGGCCATTTGCTCTAGTTCCATTTGCTCTATAAGCCTACAGATAGATCATAACGTTTTTCTATATGCCATCTGCTCTATACGTCATTTGCTCTATAAATATTATTTATGACTGTCTTGGTCTATTTGCTCTATTCAATATTTATGAATAAACATGTCATGGTTACAATTAAAAGGTATAGAGAAGATGGAATGTAGAGCAAATGACATATAAATAGAGGAAATGGCACGATAGAGCAAATAGGACTAGAGCAAATGGGAATAGAGCAGGTGTTGTAGCTACATTATTTTGATGGAATGTAGAGCAAATGACGTATACATAGAGCAAATGGCTCGATAGAGCAAATAGAACTAGAGCAAATGGGAATAGAGCAGATGTTGTAGAGCGCCATTATTTTTAGCATAATTTTACCATGAGAATCCCAGTCTCGTGAAACTTGAGTGTACGTTTTCCCATCTTTTGTTCTCCTTTAGAACTTATAACAAGTGCATCATCCGCAAACGCTGCAGAGCACTAAAAGGGAGCATTATTAGTAAAAAAAAACAAGACTAATTCACAAACGTTTTATCTGTAGCACTTGTGAAACAACAATTGTTTAGTAGAAGCATTCCTATTTTAATAAATTGGTGTCTGGTAAAACCTGTAAATTGGTGTCTGGTACAACCATTTACTTTCTAACAACATCAAATACACTTCATTATTGCTATAATTGAAAATCCCTATTCCATTGTTTTCTGGTTATCACTGTAGTGTTGAGAAGAAAAAAAACTTGTATTGCTTAAAGGAACCAGCTTCTATATTGTTGAAAGAAACCCAGCTTATATTTTATTGAAAGGAACCCAGCTTATATATTAGTGAAAGGAACCCAGCTTATATATTATTGAAAGGAACCCAGCTTATATATTATTGAAAGAAAACCAACTTATATATTAATGAAAGGAAACCAACTTATAGATGTTGCAAGGAAACCAACTTATATGTTATAGATAGGAAACCAACTTTAATGTTATAGATATGGAACCAACTTATATATTACAGATAGGAAACCAACTTATATGTTATAGATAGGAAACCAACTTATATGTTATAGATAGGAAACCAACTTATATATTATAGATAGGAAACCAGTTTATATGTTATAGATAAGAAACCAACTTATATATTATAGATAGGAAACAATCTTATATGTTGTAGATATGGAACCAACTTATATATTATAGATAGTAAACCAACTTATATGTTATAGATAGGAAACCAACTTATATGTTATAGATAGGAAACCATCTTATATGTTGTAGATATGGAACCAACTTATATTTTATAGATAGGAAACCAACTTATATTTTATAGATAGGAAACCAACTTATATGTTGTAGATGTGGAACCAACTTATATATTATAGATAGGAAACCATCTTATATGTTGTAGATATGGAACCAACATATATATTATAGATAGGAAACCAACTTATATGTTGTAGATATGGAACCAACTTATATGTTGTAGATATGGAACCAACTTATATATGATAGAAAGGAAACCAACTTATATATGATAGAAGGGAAACCAACTTATATATTATAGATAGGAAACCAACTTCTATATCATAGAAAGGAAACCAAGTTATATATGTTGAAAGGCCAGCTTATATGTTGTTAAAAGTAAAGCAGGTTAAATGTTTGTGGAAAGGAAACCAACCTATATAGTACAGAAAGGAAACCAACTTATTTATTATAGATAGGAAACCAACTTATATATTATAGATAGGAAACCAACTTATTTATTATAGAAAGGACACCAACTTTATACACTGTTGCAAGGGTACCAACTTACATTTTGTTGCAAAAAAACTTATACATGGATAAAAAAAACCTAATTATATTTTTGTGAAAATATAATATAATTGTTGAAAGAAACTCAAACAAAGAAAATATTTAATTAAAGCATTTACTTGCATCTTTTCTCCCATTGGATTGGTTTCCTCAAACTCCTCTCCCAATTTAAACCTAAATCATCATTTATGTATTTTATCGCCGTTTTACTAACATTAACAACCCTTGGGATAAATGAGTAAAATAATAGCCTGCTCCTTCCAAATTTTTTGTGAAAACATTCACGGATTTTCCTCTCAAAAAACTTTTTATAAAATTGTGTATCTTCACAGTACAACATACTTTTTCGGATGATTACGTTTTTTTTACTTAAACACGGGTATTATCGACCAATTTTATCTAAAAACTTCGTTGGTTTTGAGAATCCTTGGTAAAACAAAATTCCTTTAACTTCCCTGTAAAGTTTATTGTAAATAACTATTTTATAAAATGTTGAACATTTTACTTTATTGTTTGATCTTTAACTGGGGTTGTAAAAACCAGTTTCCACTCATCTCCACTCTGAATATATCTAGAAAATAAATATTAAAAAATATGTATTAAGAATAAAGTAGCCTGAGAACCCATAAAATTGTGGAATAGAAAGACGACTGTAAGCCTCAAGTATTGGTTTTGAATATTCCCATGAACACAGACCTATTTTACTCAATGAGTTGACTTTCAATTGCAACTGGTAAAACACTTTACTTCGTAACAAAAGATATACACAACATTTCGCAATGGGACTGTATTAGATACTTTATTTACAAACACCGTTGATATATCGGATTTTTCTAGATTCCTGAGTTATTTTTAGTCCAGGGCTGACGTTGCAGACAATCTTCCTTACTGCCCAAGGCAATCCTACTCACAGGGTATAAAGGGTTAAAAACAGGACAGGGTTAATAACAGGACAGGGTTAATAACAGAACAGGGTTAATAACAGGACAGGGTTAATAACAGGACAGGGTTAATAACAGGACAGGGTTAATA